CTGGGCCATATTCTGTAATAATAACCATGTGACGTAAGCATGTGTGTCTTTCTTTTGTCCAAAGTATACTGTAAAATAATAAATCCTGTAGACTGGGTGTAAAGGGCAACCACACACCGGAAACAGCCACAAAGCAGCAGCCCTTCATGGCACAATAAGTGCTGCCTCTACAATTTCTCTGAGAGCCACATGTGCTCTAGAATTCAGAAGTCAGCAGGATGTGTGACAGAGGAGAAGGCTGTTATGAAGACTAAGACCACAAATCATAATAAATTACTGTGCAGGTCATGAAGTTCCTCAAAACCATTCCCTCTAAACACTATGTGTGCTTTGACTGTGATTACTATCAATATGATGCCTTGTAAGAAACCTGAAACTGATGCAGTGAGAAGGCAGAGCAGTGTTTGTGTTAATGCTTTAAGAGTGAAGGCCAGTGGTTCAGCTACGTTATAATCTGAGGTGGCAAAGAAATGTATTCTGAATGAGAAAATGTCAGAGCAACAAATCCAACAAATGTACTCTAAATTAGGGCTGGACATTATCGAATTGCAATTTTTCTCAGTAATGCTGTGACTGTGATTCAGACTGTGATTTCTTCCTATAAATTCAGGTTCAGGCCTGTTTTCGGCCAGGAAGACCAGAATACCCATCTTTTCTGGCTTAAGGCTTGAACCCTGAATATAGTGTGCTAGACTGCCAATAAGGTGCGGTTGTGATGTCACATCACGTGGAGCTTTGGTTGAATCTGATTGGTCTAACTCCGCTACAGGCAGTTTACAAGCTCTGTGTTAGTAGGTTAAATTTCCCATTTAAAACATGAGACGTTTTTTTTTTTAATTACAGCCCACATGACTAAAAAACTGCAGCTCTTGCGATTTAGAAATTGCACAGTGTTAAACTTCCATTTCGACAGAAAAACGATAAATCTCTCAGCCCTACTCGAAAAGTAAAGTGAAAAGTAGCCTTCAGTAACTTAAGACAGGAAGTGAACAATTCTGCAGTTTTAAAAATACGACAACAATAAACAACACACGACGCCGGTGATAATAATGACCCAATTCTTAAAAAAAACTGCTGCAATGCGAGTTCATTATGTAAGCTGGGCATTTTGGTTAAAGCGTGTGTGAACGAGGCGGAGGTCAGCGCCCTACTTTCTCTGAGCTCGCGGTCTTCTCTCGCGACGTGCACGTGGCTAAAGGGGGACGGGCTTAGGCCATGCGCTCTGTAGAACAGGGCGGGGCTAGCGCCGACACGTCACCAGTAAGACTGGACTGAAACGCGGGAGGAAAACACGAGCCTGCCGCGCGCTGCAGGCGACACGTCTGAGGCGAACAGTCCCAGTGACAGCGCCGTAACGCCACCGCTGTCCACTCGCTCTGACTGTCCGCCGGCGCGCCGCCTTCTTCGGAGGCGTGTAATACGACACCAGGGGGTCGTTATGTAAAAGCGCCAACTGCCCCCCGCGCGCGCACGGCCGTTGCCACCGCCCTTCAGGAGCAGCGCGCGCTCGATGAAATCGAAACCGCGCGCTGCGCAAGCGAAACAATAAACACATTTCAAAAGGAAACATTCCAAAGCAGCTGAATTCGCGTTCCATGCGCGTATGCGTCAGAATTCTAGAACGCAGATGCTCGTAATCAAAGTCACGAGTAGGTGCAAAACAACACTGCACTGCAGCTACACGCCGGGTACACATTAGTTAGGTCCTTTAACTCCTTCCAGTGTCTTACACGGCGTATTATGCAGCTTTAAACGCGGAGACTGTTCACGATTACAACGACTACAAAACATGTAAAAGCAACGGCGATTTCGTGACACGGTGTCGCTGCTCATTCTCTCCCTAATCCTGAGCGCTCTTTAATCCGGACAGGACTCCATTTAGAACCTAATCTCCCAGTTTAAGTGTTGCATTGCTCTCTTGCAGTAGCAAAGCTAGCTTTGCACACCCCCCCGCCCAGCCCCACAACCCCCTCTATCTCTCTTACCACGTGCTCTCTGTTGTTGCTGGGCTTGCAATTCCAGAAACTTGGCTGCTTCTAAAAGCGTTTCGATACTCATGTCTGCTTTATTCTCCTCTTTCTTCCACCCAATTTCACGAGAAACTGATGAACAGCTTTCGCTTTGGGTCAGTCTAAAAAAAACTTCCGTCCGGGACCCAACACCTCCGACTGCAGGGGGAGGGAACAGAAAGAAAGGGGGGAAAAAAGCAGCAGCGGCGGCTGTAACTGGATCCCCAGATGCAGAAACTCTTCCACGCACGTAGAGGAGTCGCGACAAGATGGCGGGCTGAAGCTCGAGCAGGCTGCACGTCGCACAACTGCCCGCCCCTCTCACAGACTCCTCCCCCTCCCACTGCGGAGCAGCTCAAATCACGGACAGGCTCGGCCTCCACGCAGCACACGTTGTTTTTAAACACGCCAAAACAGTGTGTGATGTGGCTAAGAAAGGGCGAGTAACTAGGTCCATTTACTCAGTTACATGTCAAATATATCACAGAGCTGTACTTTCCTGACTGCTTTTAAATACTACTAGGCTACTTTTACTTCTACTCAGGGGTATCTGTGATGATAGTAATCTACTTTTTTACATATTTAAATTTTATTTATTAACATACTGGTAATTGTTCAGTTTATTTTAATTCTGTACTGCTGTGTACATTTGACGTTTCGTTTATCACTTTATTTTAGACCGAAAGTGCATCAAAAAGAAGCAAACAGTTCCTCTGCAGACGACAGACGCTGCAGCGATTGTTCTACTTCAGTTCTGTGAGTTACTCAGGAATCCTGCAGTTTTTACCTTCTAATTTGTACCTTTATTTCTAACCTGGTCATTATTTCACAAAAATAACAAAACCTTTCCCTTGAGATTTGGGCTACTCTACCCACCCATTATTGTGCTTGGCGTTTCTGCAGCAGCATCGTTGGCGAATCCACTCCAGGTTTTCCCGCCACAGTCCTGAAGCCCAGCCTCCGCCTCATGAATAAAATATAAGCGTGGAGCAGCCAATGGGAGCAGGGAATGAGAAAGCATGGAGCGCACTCACATGGGTGGCACCTTGTGCGTTTGTTTTTGCTCGTCGGCGCTGCCCCGTGGTGGCACTATATGAGGTTTATAGCTCGATTTGACCTGGTGGGAAAACAAATGACAACTTTTCAGAACCAGACGGCTCAAACAAACTCAAATTAGCCCAGATCATAATCCGCGCAGCGGTACTGCCTATTAGGAGTGAAGCAAATAGAACCACAGGAATATTTATTGAACATGTGTATGCTGTACTTCAGGACTGACCCATTAATAATTCTGAATAAAGTCTCCAGTGATGGAGAGCCATAAAGCAGAACATAGGGTTTCAAGAAAGAAGTCTTTACGGCCTGGTACGAATTCAGTCTAAAAGATTTCAGATGCTAAGTTTTCTTACCCAGCTAGGTCAGTTTGGTGAAAGCATGAGGGCACTAAGGGTAAGAGAACTAACACAGTCAAACTGACTGTGAACATCATCATCTAACCCTCTCAAATAGACTCATTCAGCTGTTATTCTGAACAAAACTCTCACAGGTTGTCTTATTCCAGCTGAGGAAACAACCAAACCAATGTCCAAGTCAGAGAGTTTTTCTGCCATTATACAGGCACTAAGTGAATCGAGGGCTGAGTCGTGGTTGTATCCATGGAAACTTGTGGCGAAGTTGTGTATTGCAGGACAGCAGAATGTCTCTGGAGCAGGATTTGGGTTGTGGGGGCAGTTGAAGAGGATCTGGCAACACACTGGACTCCCTAGCAACAGTTCACTTATAGGAAACAGAAGTATACATGCCATTCAACTGTGTGCTCTAGCATAGGTTATGTAGCCATCTTTCTAGCCAATGGACTAATGACAGTTTTCTGCAATGTCCCAACAGCCATGAGGAAATCTACCACTAGTGCTGTCTGATAAGACCTTATGCCATCTGTTTTGACCCTGACACTTGCACTTTAAATCCTCAGCCATGTGTCGGCTCATACCCACCTATATGTCAGGAGACACACTAGTTTGGACACACAGACTTTGAAAAGCCAAAACTGGGGTGCTGTTCATCCATATACATACACACACACACAGAGAACACGCTCTGCTCCCAGTCACATGATTCTCACATGTCCTGCAAAAGGGGAGCAAAGTCCCTTCTTAACCCAGAAGTAGCCCTGGAGGCAGTTAAGAACACAGTAGGAGATTTATCTCTAAGCTCCAGGAAACTTCACGTGACCCACCACTCAGCCTGAAAAACCACAGTCCCCGACTATCCCTTGCTGTTGTCCACTCCAGCTCCACTTTTGTAAAGAACCCAGACTTCCTGCAAAGAAAACAACAGAGGAATTCTAGGGAAATGAAATGCATAAACAGCCAACATCCTCCACTATTAGAAGGTCGTAGTTTGGCTAAACAGTTTGTCAATTATTAATCTGTCTTCATGACGTCTGAGACTGCTTTGCTACTAATAAAGTCTGACATGCTTGCGTGAAAGCAAGAAACTGTCACATTTCTTACTAAAGGTCTATTGTGCACTACTGGCAATTTCAAAAGTCCACATAAGAAATCAGTTAGAAAAAGACAAAAAAACCCAAATGGACAAACTAAAAATATGGGCTACATTAGTTCTTTTTCCCCATTAAATGCTGTAAAACAGACATGTGGATAGACTCATTTGGATGTAAGTACATCACAGTATTGACTAATTATGAGAAGAAGTGGTTAACCACAAAACTTACCAAAGATGACCAAGATAAATATATCTATATAGTATATAGCAATATATATAGTCATCAACCCTATATAAAAGTGTTACATTTCTCAGTAATGCTAATTCAGGTGAATCTAGTACTAATTTCTACATAAGAAATCATAAATGTATATGTACATGATATGTACATGAAAAATATTGGATATCGGTATTGGCACATCCATAAACAAAACCTTGCAACACTTGAAATGAATAAAAAATACTGAACAGCAGATGTAATTAAAACATTTATTACAAATGTAATTATGCCAAACAAATGTAATATTTAATAAAGCCGAACAAAAATACTCAGTAAAACAAATCTGACTGTTGCCTCTGCAACCAGATGTAAATAAAAAAAACCTTCAGTATGGCTTATAGCTCAGAGGATAGTGCTCTGTTGAGAGGCAGTAGTTAACTGGATGCTGAGGAAAGAGAGTAGAGGAAGTGACTGCAGGGCTGTGTTAGTTTTGTATAGGCTTGGCTACCTGGCGGAAGAGAGTGTTCTTCAGGCACGTACACAGCTGGTTCATCAGGTCTTTATTTTGGCCCTCTACCCAGTGCATCTCCACCACCACATCACAGTCCTCTGATTTCACATTCACCAGGCACTTGAAGAGGAAGTGCTGGGCTAGGCTTGGGCTTGGAGGCCCCTGGGAGCCACTGCCCCCCTGCTCCTCCTCTTGTTTGCTGGGGACTCTCTGTGCTGGGGGTCTCCATGGTAATGTCTGTTCCACTCTCAGAACTCTGTTGTCCCTTGGCTTCCTCTTCATTGCTGTGGGGCTCCATGTTGGCCCCTTCTGGTGCCTGCTGTGTGTTGCTGGTGTTTGGTATGTCAGGGGTCAGGTCGGTCTCAGGCTCTGGATCGTGGGCGGCAGCCGGCGGAGCTCTGGGAAGCTCACGGAGCTGACGGCCATGCTCGCGCCGCTTCTGCCGGCCGTGGATCCAGGTGTTCTCCACAGCTGTCAAGAAGAGGCTCAGCTCCGACTCGCTGCAGGGCACGCGCTTGTGCAACACCTGGAAACAAATAAAAACAGGTAATACACTACCTAGCAGATCTTGGGAGGAGTGCTGCTCACCTGAACCACCAAGTGAGTTGATAGTTCTGTAGCCAGTTTTGTTTAAACTGTGGGTCTGATAGCTAATAGTATGCTAAAATGCAGCAGGCTAAACAAGCTAAAAGACTGCCATCATGCTAAACTGCTCTTCCATTAATACTGAGTGTTACACTTTGAATTTAAGTATTTATTGAATGAATACTACATGTGTCACTTGAAAGTGTTACACGTTTCTACTGCCTGTGTTTTTGGTAGTATTAAACCCATTGTGGAGGAACAAACATGTGGTAACTGTTATCGTAATGCTAACACAACACGAAATTAGCATTAATCGCTGTGACGGTAATTTCATCAGCAAAAATCACAACAAGGGGATGAAATGTGTGGTGTGATCAGATTCTGTTAAATTGTCTATATTTTATATTGTGATGTTGTTTAATTAAATTCCCAATACACATCTTATAGCCTGTGTATGTACCTTCAGGTCTGTAAGGATCTTCTCCAGCCAAGCAGTGACGCTCTCTGAAGGGGCTGAGTTTGTGGAGCCGATGCTGGGGGCCTGGGCGTGTAGCTCTGCTGCAGTGGGCTCCGGCACAGTGAAGGTCAGCGGCTTACGAGCCTTTTCCAGCTTGCGCTTCTTACATGGAGGAGACTGAAAAACACAGAAAAATAATCAGCTCTTACACCACCACTAACTGGACATCAGTATACATCATGGCAAACTATTCCAAACTATTAACAATTTCTCCGCTAAATCAAGCAAAGACACATTTATTCTAATTCATCAAAAAGCACAAAACATTACTGGTCTCAAAACTGAATTTTAGTTAATAGTTTTAATTTAACAGTAAATAATATGACACACAAGAGTTCATTAATGCATTTGGGTAAAGGCTAAAAAAATCTCCCAAAAAATCACTGCTGATTGATGTCTCAATAGAAGATAAAAACACAGACTGCACCACATCATTTATTTTGTGTTTTGTAAACTGTTCCCCACTTCAGTTGCTGGTTATACCACCACACGATTTTCTGTTTGGTTCTTGTCTCAAGCAAGAAGACAATGAGACTAAAATACAGATTCATTTTTTTTATGCATTTAAAATTTTGAAAATGCATCAGCCGTCCACACAACCTAAAAAAAAAAAAAATTGGCCTGCTCAGTCTCACTAGCTAGCTAGCTCACGTAGCACATAACCCTAAAGGTCTATATGATTTAAACTTTGGTCCGGCTCGAACCATGAAAACATGTTCCCTCCACAACTTTGCTGTCAACAGTTAGGTAGAAACTAGATATTTCATTTTTATGTCAAATCGTCATGGATTGAAAGAGGAGATAGAGGGCCACTGTTTACTCTCTGCAGAGAGAGTTTAAGGTTTCCCGTTTTTAACAATGAACAGTACACCCTTAACTGATTGGCTAAACATAATGCAGCAGCTGAACATGTGCATGCAAGAATCTACTGAACTTTTTCGCAGGATGGCGAGACAGATTTCACCATGCAGCAGGCGGCAAGCACCGCACGGATCCAGCAGACCTCTCCGTTGAAGTGAATAAAACGTAGTATGACGAAGTTCAAGTGGAGGACATCTAAGAAAATGATGTGTAAAGCCTTATATCTGGGCAGTAAGCATTTATTTGTAAAAAAAAACCACCCTAACATTAAAATAAATACAAATAAACAATACATTGTGATTCGCTGTGTGTGCACTAAATTTAACATTTATATTTGTTCCCTGTAGAGAATGTGCAGTTTTCACTTCAACTAAACGTCATTTTTGCACACAACTGTTTATATCCTTAAGCATCAATAAAAGTGACTGCATTGCTCTGCCAGTGTGAGCCACATGTGGCCAGCAGAGGGCAGCAGTGCACAAAGAAACCCATAAAAATGCAAAGGCGTGGCTGCTCACTCTGTCCCTGACCTTGGCTTATAGGCTGGTACATATACTGCCACTGTCTGAGGTGTGCGTGCCATAAACCAAGTAACAGACCTACAGGGACATGACAACAGGAGGTCAGAGTAAAAGCCAGTGGTGCAAGTAAATGCATTATAAACTTGCATTATGAAGAATAACACTCACACAACTCAACTGAAACAATACATAGTTGTAGTTACAGTTAATCTAATAAACAACAGTATCTGTGCTTTTCTGATGTATTCATGTAAGGGCTAGAAAATGTCACCAAATAACGAGTTCAGGACACAAGCAGCACAGTGGCCCTGACTAAAGCCTGAGCCCAAGATTATGTGTTTCTATAAAGCAGCAAAGCAGACAATGAACTCCTACACAAAGGCATACACACACTCATAGCAAGCATTCCATACAGCTCAGAGTGTGGCTCGCCCGTCTCTCTCACATACCACCAACCTGAAACTAGCATCAACACCAGAGAGAAAAATCACAAGACAGATGACGCCAAGCAGAAACAAATACGTTCTTATGTACTGTATGAGAGAGTGAGAGAGACAGAGGAGAAAGGGAGAGGGAGAAAGAAACAAAGAAAGACAGATATATACAGTACTGCACACACCTTAGAGACCACCCTTTCATTTATTTAATTTTCAGCCAAAATGGCCCTTCTGTTTATTTGTCAGCTCAGAAAAAAGCAGAAAATATATATTTAACTGAAAATTACACAGAAGCCTCAACAACTAAACAGAAAATTTCACTTTGTCTTTATTACAGCTTCCATTCTTTTTGGAAGTCTTGCTTTTAGTTTTTTTAAGGAATCTGTAGGGATGTTTTTCCACACCTCCAAAGTTTAGTCTTAACATTTGGTTACATTTTATGCTTTTCATGAACCAAATGATCAAAACCAAATGAGAGATGCCTTCTTCACCGTTCTGCTAAGTTCCATCTTGCATCATGGCTGAAGGCATCTCACTCCTCTGACACAGGAGAATCATAAGCAGGTCATACACACTCTCTCTCTTTCACAAGACCCCTTCACTATGTCTTATGACCAGCTGTGTGTGAGTCTGTTTAGGCACAACATTTCACAGTAATCACATACAATGCAGAGAACTACAGCTTGGTAACCCCCCACCCACCCATACTAAATCACTCTAGCCTGAAATAGCACAGAATGCGAAGTAAAGTAAGTCATGTTTTTACCTCCGTACCCAAATAATAAATTCACATGAAAAAGTGGGGGAACATAGTGTTTGATTAGTTTGAGCATGGAATATAAATATTTAAATATGTAAAATATTCAATTGTATGGCTCAGTAGTTCTTAAAGAAATATCAGCTCTGTATCACTATACTCAAGGTTTTAGTGTCCGTACAGGAAAAGAAAAAGTGGTACACACTGTCTAGGGCTGTCCCGAACAGGATTTCACAGGGTTCAAAGATGTGTTATTTTGAAATGAGTACCTGAATACTTGTCCTCAAAATCACCCTTAAAAATTGTAATATTTATATTTCATAATTAAGTATAATAGTATGCTTATTTGTTACTGCAGGTCAAAAATATAAAGCGGGAAACAAGGATGTAATATTGTGTATCAGTGTGAATGAACTAAAATCTGGAGTAGTACTTGGATAAGGATCACTGTACTTACACACACACACACACACACACACACACATATATATATATATATATATATATATATATATATATATATATATACATATATATATATAAGTTTGATTCCTCAAACTTGTCATGCCCCCATGGTACACTCTCTTACTGCAAATGTCAAGTTGTGACATTGATGGCTGGCATGAAATTATGATGCATTAAACTAAACCAACAATAATTTATTTTTTAACATTTTCCATATATTAACAATAACTGTTCTATCTAAAGACCTTTGCTGGTGAAATGTACTGTAGTTTACGCTATAATTGCTTATGGCTTAGAGAAAAGATAAAGTTTTCGGATCATAAATAGAGAATAACTTAATAACAAAATAAAAAAAAAAGAAGAAACAAACAGACAAAACTATATCACACAGCTCACCAGGGGGAGCCATTCTATGCCTTTTAGTGACCCCGCAATGGCACTGGTGATGGTAGGTATTATGCAGACAATTAATCTAGCCATCTTGAAGTACCTGGCTTATACTATTTTCAACAGAAATCATTTCATAATCTAATTTTGCACGTAAACCGTATGCCACTGTAATTTCACACTCAGTCAACAAGCCTGTATTTGTGGTAAAGCAACAGGACCGTGTACACTAAAGATTAATATCTCACATGGATAAGAAAGCATGATATTCTATTGATTGATGCGTGTTATGAGGTGCTTAATTCGGATTCACTGCACCTCCTAATATTGTGCCTCTGTGTCTCACAGCCATCGAGATAAGCTCACTGCTCAAAACACAGGAATGAAAAGGGGAGGGAAAAAATCAATAAAATCCATCAGCCTGTCTTTGTGTTCAGTGCATCCCTGACAGGGACTTTTATACTCGTGTATGGTGTACGTGGATGGATAAAAAGACTTCGCACGCATACATTTAATCAATCACCATCAGTCTTCTAAGCTGTTTACTGCTTTTAGTGCTTCCCCTCCTTTATTCATTCATCATTCATCTGTTCTCTCCCTCTTTCCTTCTCCCTGGAACTGTCCATTATTTACTAACAGTCATGCCCTCCGTCTGTTCTCTGAACGGAAACAGCACGACCGTCCTAAAATGGCCGCCACTCAGGATATCTTTTTAAATTTCTACATGTCTGGTCCTCATCTGAAGAACAGCTGAATCCAGCTATAAATCCAGAGCACATTTAATTATTGAACATGCGCAGGTGCAGGTCAGCAGCAGCAGAGTGGTCAAACTCAGAGCCTCAGCTGGACTGATTCTAGCACACACTGCTCTGTTCCACCATTACACTCATCCTGCCCCAAAAACACCGCCCTTTCCTGAATGACTCAGCCTTATGACCTCTGACCTTTCCGCCTCCGCCCTTACCATAAATCTACAGCCCCAACAGCTCACATGCTGGACGCACACTGTTAAAATGTTATCGCAATACAGGCTTTTGCAATACTGAAGGCAGCAACATGCAAATGAGCCCTCTAACCAACCAATAAATGTTTCAGTAGTGTCCTGTGAACAGGGGTGGGCGATATGACGATATTTACCTTTATTGTGATAAACTTTTGATAGTATTTCTTTAAATGCGACACTACTGGGGGCTTTTTGTCTGTTCCCACTTACCAAATCTGAGAAAAACAACATTTTATGATGCATTTGTGTCGTAATAATGTCTTGAAATATTGCGATATTATTTTTTTCCATATTGCCCACCCCTAGCTGTGGCATCCTGGTCAATCAGAGACAGTTTAGATGAGTTTCTGTGTTCGTTCAGATGATTAAAAGCATTCACACAATCTGTAAAATGTAAATCATTTTTTTCCACAATAATGCAGATCAGTCTTCCATGTGACATCACGTAACTTATTTATATTAGACATTTAAATGTATTATCAAAATATTTAGGAATATAACTGAAATATAAATTTTCATCCATATCAGGCAGCCTTCTGGACAAGCCATTAGAAATACTGGTCTTCTCTCTTTCTACCTTTGTATTTCCAGCAGGCCACGTCTGGGCTCCTGCCATGTGTTTCATATCTGGATTAAAGACCAAACTGTCACTCAGATTGATCTGGTTTCCATGCAGTCTGCTAATGGGGCTCAGCTGGCATCAGAGTAAAAAGATGGACGTAAGAGCAAAAACATGAGCAGCATTGTGTATGAGAGAGAGGGAGAGAGGGGGAGAGAGAGAGAGAGAGATGGGTACAGATAATGCTGAAAAAGATGCTGATAAGAGTTCATCTGATGCTGAACATGTGCTCACAGCTCCAATGTGTACTGCTTAACAGCATGTAAGAGTTATTGTTTTTGTATATTTTCAAGACAAAAATGTCCCGATTTGAAAAGAAAAACATTAAATAACCTAGAACGTTAGAACCTTTTTTTTTTTAACTGGAAAGACAAAACCCTTTTTAGGTTACTGAGGTTAAAGTTCAGTTTAGGATTATACTCAGAAAATTCTTATTACATATAGGTAGTGACATACGGGATATACAGTACTGTGCAAAAGTCAGAGACCACCCTTCGTTTATTAATTTTCACTCAAAATGGCCTTTGTTTCATAAGTTATACATTTTTCAGGAAATAGTTATGAGGAGATGACTTATAAGATAACCCACTTGCATAAGAACAGGATAGTCAAAGGAAAATAAGTTAAAAAAAAATTAAAAATAAAAAAAAACAAAAAAACAGGAGTTTCCAAAACTATTAAAAGATATAGGGAAAATGAGACTTACTAACAACATTTCAAGACCTCGTAGAGAACCAAACTGTCACCATCAGATAAACAGCATTTAAAGCTTTCATCTTTAAGAGAGAAGAGAAAATCAAGCTCCACTCTTACTTCAGATCTGAAAAAAATCCACAGGTGTTTCTGTTCATCCTTCCACTGTGAGAAGACAACAACACTATGAGTCTGAAAGGATGTGTAGCTGCCAAGAAGCTATTACTGAGAAAAGGAAAGAGACAAAAAATAAAACAAAAAAAGGCAGGTGTTCTCAGAACAATCGACTCTTCACCCCAGAGTCCAGACGTGAACATCACTGAATGTGTTTGGGATTATTTGGATTATAGTGTGAAGCAGAAAATCTAACCAACTTCTAAGACTGAACTTTGGAGATGTGTAAAAATATTCCTGCAGATTTCACTGACAAGCTGAAAGGAAGTCTCCTGAAAAGAATGTAAGAAAGGCAAAGAGTGAACACATTAAATACTAAAAAAATAATATAGTATTTAGTTGTTGGGGCTTCTGTGTAATTTTCTATTAAATATATGATTTATGATAAATATATGACTTGTACTATAGTTGTGACTGGTAATCAAATAAACAAAGGGTGGTCTCTGACTTTTGCACAGTACTTTATGTATGACCCCATGTCCTGATATTACATAAAAACAACAGTGTGTGTATGCATGTATATATGTATGTGTGTGTGTGTGTGTGTGTGTGTGTGTGTGTGTGTGTGTGTGTGTGTACTAGCCAAGGTTGAGATGAGGCTAGGAGTGGCATGCAGACAAAAATGTAGGCCAATCTTTCTGCTCAAGTGCCTTTGAGGAAAAAGGCATCTGGGACCAGGGGAGTTTCTAAAAGAGTGGAACAATTCTTCCCCCCCGCCCCCTCACCACCCCTTAAACTCCCCTCTCTCTCCCTACAAAAAAAAAAGCATGGCTCCAGAGCCATGCTGCCCTGGCGACTGTTGCCAGGCTACGGCGGCTGAGGAAGTGGGTTGGGCTGCAGGGAGCAGTCAGAGTGAGTCTAATGGAATGGGCCACACTTGCATTATTAACAAAGGCACAGAGCTCAGTGACTACTCAGCAAGTCTGTTCCTCATCTCAACCCAGACACACAAAACTCCCAAACACAGCCCTGCTGTCTGTCTCGCTGCTGCAGTAGCTTAGTAGGTCACAACAGGACTTCCTCCAGTGGCAGTAACGTAAGGAAGAGCATGCAAGCCTTGAACTCACCGGCACAGTCACGTCCTCATAGAAGCTCCAGGCCAGGGCCCAGCGCATGGTGCGCCCCTGACAGAACTCTGTGTGTGTGACTTTGGGAACCTGTTTATACATGTGGGAAAAGAGGGGAAAAAATAACCATTAGAGTGAAAAAACAACAGACGAAATTACTAGTTAGTAGTTTGACAAATAATATAATTTACACAGTTCTCTCAGTTACCCTAAATGTAGTCTATCAGACAAGACAGGCTTGGTGTCTGAAGTTTGCTTCTGTAGTTTTGCACTGGAATTATGAGGCTTATGTAGCTTGTAAGCAATTAAAGCTAAGACACACCAACCGTGCAAACTAGGGCTGCACCAAAATTTCAGCAAGAAAAAAAGGGAAGACTTTGACCAAAAATAACACACATAAAACAGGCCTATAACAAAAGTGTCAAATCTACGACAAATAATTTCTATCTAATGGTACAAATAATAACGTAATGGTAATGGAAATAAAAAAATAGTGAGTAAAACCGGTGTTTGTTTCCTTCGCTCTCCTGCACAGAGTTCAAATTGTTTGAGTGGCAGAAGATCAACAGTCATCATGTTGGCCGTGTAGAATTATTTCATGGTTTCTATGAAGGACATTAGGCAACCAATGTGTAACAAAGACATTACAAAGGAGGAGGAGACAGTTCACTCGAAAAATGAACGAAAAACCTCATAAGCCCTTCAATAAAAACAGCGAGTCCGCTTCCTTGCAAAGTGGAAAAAGCTTATCTCAGCTGTGGAGATGCGCAGTAGCCAGGACAACCTGAAAAAACATGTTTTTTTTCATTATTTGAGCCAAACTCAGCAAACTTTGTCAGATATTACCCATTTCAAATCCATTTTTGAAACATTAATGTATCTGTCAGTTTCGAGTTTATAGGTCTCTCTCCATGCAGAAAGGAAGGATCCTGGCCTTGTATACCTGAAAATAACTGCACTGCCAAGATGGTTGCTGAGGACATTGGGCCTCATTCACTAACCGTGCTTAACAAGAAATTTCTTCTTAAAACCCACACATGCAGTTTTCAAGAAGATTTCGACATTCATCAATGTTTTCTTATTTGGAATTTGTTCTTAGGTAAGAACCAAATCTACACACTCAAGAGCACAAAGGTGTGGCCAATTCTGTGGTTTAAGAACACGTCATGAATCTGACATAGACTTTCCCTTAGGGTTATAAAAACATGGAGATATTGCTGAATGAGGCCTGTTGTGTGTAATGGCTGCTCATGTGAAGGATCAAAAATAAGGAAATACAACACACAAAAACTTCACCACTAAACCTCTGAGACCATGTTAATGCCATCTGTAGCCTCAGATTTTGAAATGACAAAAAAAAGTTCAAAAACAACAGTGTCAAAGTGCAAAGTTTAATTAAAAAAATTAACAGAATCCATTGCTTTGGATGTCCAAATGTCCTCTGTTGTAGGGGACACTGGATTATTTAGCACACACTGTCACCCAGGAACTCCAATGATTTTAGTGCATGTATTTTAGGTTAACTGTTTTGACCTACTGACTTTTTCAGTTTTTAGTTTTTGTGGTGCAACACTAGTGCAACAGTACCAAACTGTTATGCAATCTCAAACAGATCTGCTAATATGGTATGACGTACTCTTTTCTATAAAATGGAAAAAGTATGAACAGA